GAATAACTGATACGTAGTTCCTACAGGACGATTTTAATTCGAGCTTGCAATAGTTGGTACATGTATATCAGAACCTTATCGCAGTCGCCAGTCTGGAGCTGACTCTCGTTATCAGATCACTGTCAATAAAGAAAAGGATACAGAGTTGGACTAACTTTCTATTTAAGGTATGCGTAGATAAAATGAAATGCGATATCGATCATTACAAGAACAGCTGCAGCAGTCAATCATGTTAAATATTTCAAGAGACTAATACAGAATCGATCTCATTAAAAATGTTTAACAAATACATGATAAAGCTTTATTCGTTTTAAGAACGAGACGTACTATCATCGATAACCCAACGATTCCACCGTTTCCAAAAAGCCAACGACGATGACACGTTGTTCAAAAATTGAATACGCGAGACAAGGCACGCGTAGATGCGTACGAAGGATTGCATAGCCGCGAAACACAACGCGAACCAAGAGACTGAAAGGCCGTAAACAACCCCAGAGGAGGCTGCCCCAGATGCCGTGAAGATCGTTGCCCTCTGGGCGTGTAGTAGAAGTAGAAGGCCGTAAAGATTTTAGGACTCTTTGGACACGAAGTGTCGGCTGCTACGGCGGGAATGAAAATGAAGCGACCCTAGTCTGTGTTCGTCGCGAATTTCTCCTCTTTTCAACGAGGCGACAGGACGTCGCGACCGGTGCTTACGTGTATCTACTCCAATTGCACAATTGGGAGGCGAACGAGCAAACCCCTTCACCCAACCGGCTTTGATTTCGGGAATTCCCTGCACTGCATATACCTACGTGTGTCAGTTCATGTATTCTTTCAGAGAACTCTTGCAACAAGTGGAATTAATTAATCAATTTACACCCGTTTCTCTTGCCTTGTAATCAGGGATTACTTCGGATTTAATCTAAAAGTAGATCACAAACAAATGTAAATAATTTTTATGTATGCAAAAAGATACAGTTTAATTATAATTTAAGGATGACTCTAAGCATAATGAAAAACTGATAAAGAATTGTAAGTATGATTCTAAGCGAATAAAAAGTAGCAGTGTGGAAAGACGACGACTTGCTTTAAGAGCAGTCATCGGCAAGCGCTATAATATTTTATGACATTCTCGTAATGGTAGTAGCTCGCCTAAAGGAGATACGACGGGGGTGAAAGTGACAGATCATTTAACTCTGTTGCCTCGTAAAAAAGTCCCGGTCTGTGTTACTAGACTGCGACCAACTTTACTGTAAAACCCTCCCTTGAGACAGGCTGACCAAACCGTGCGCGATCCATGGCTTACCTTTAGGCACGATTCAACACTATCATTAATTCTATTACTGATTAATTAAACAAGGATTGCACACTTTTAGATGTAATATAAATCATTGTAATGTTATTGTGATATGTAACATAGAAGTAGAATTGTATAATAATCAGAATCTGTGTCGATATAAAGAGCGTGTGGTAGGATAGAAAATTAACAGGTGTTAAGAAAAACGGCAGATTTATAATCTGCGGCACGCGCATTGTTACATCAAGTTAAGTTTTCGAACGCGTGAGTCCGAGAATACTTGGGCATTGATGATTTCCAAGTACGGTCAGTGAAATCGATCAATTCCACTGACCAGGCACGCAATGCCAAAGACGACGACGACGACGTGCCACGACGGGAAAGACAGTCCAACGATAAACGCTTTGAATCGTGATATTGTAAAGACACAGTACGTTCAATGATCGAACTATTTCCGAACAATGGCTGCAGTTTGGAAAGTGGCAAACTAATAGACGGATTATTTTATAAATAAGACTTAACCGGAGTAGACAGAATTTCGTATTCCGCTATACTAATTATAGAGCACTTCAGGTAGTTCAAGACTTGCGTCAATGTCGGGTTAAATGATAAATTTATTCCATGAATACATTCTTTGCTAGAATTATAAAATCTCTGAGGTACACGTCCATTTATGTATTTAAGGATGTATTGGCTATACAATCAATCCCAAAAGTTTATGTACCTTATAAAAACGCATTTCCTATAATTAAAAAGAAATCAGANATGCTAGCAAGGAATTTTTATACAGAAATTGTAGATCTCGTCGTCCTCTACAAGAAAGATCCTATGCAATTTTCCCGTAGATCCAACGGTTTAGAAGTTAGTGGCAAAAAACGAAAATTTCGCTAAATTTGAAGGGGTACCCCTTGGAAAAATCTGGGAAAAATCGAAAATTTTTTTTTTGTTGTTTATTATTTGCAATGTTTGTCCGACGTCTGATTTCTTTTTAAAAAATGCGTTTCTAAAGTGCATAAACTGTTGGGATTGACTGTATAGCCAATACATCCTTAATCTGATTTCACTTCGTGGCTTACGATTCATGTGAAACGATCAATTAAAGAATAGCTGTCTTAGAGTAATCTATTATCACAATTAATTGCACGTGCAATAATTATTTTGTTCAAAGATTTTTACGATTCCATCCAATTTTTATTGATATAAAACTGATGTTGTATACCCTTATTTACTATATACTATATTATTATATTTATTATACTTAAATAATCTTTATGATCTTTTTAACTATCAGCTGGAGAAACTGTATTGGGATTTATCCCACAAATTTCAATGCAGTACTGAACTACTGTACACCGAACATTAATTTGCAATTACTTTTCCAATTACAGCTGTTATGTTTATAGAGTCACTTTCTAATTTTTACGTTTGTGAAATTGTCTTTTCTCTCGTTTCATATGTTCTAGCTTTAACTGCTGTGAAAGGTAAGCGCGTAGCGTGATAATAATAAGCACTACCAATAATGATTGGTAGAATAATACGTGTTTTACCTGACCGAGTTTCAAACTGAAAATATAAATGTTAACACGCAAAACACTGTATGAAATGATCTAGAATTAAATTCAAATATACTGCAAGTGTCCAGGCTTTCACAACACAATACATGTACATTTTATAATTCAAACATCAATTCTGATTTATAAAATAGAATTTCTAAATGAAATGCTAAATAAACTCGAAAAGAGTAGTTTTGTGATAAAATGATAAAAATAAATTAAAGTACAATAAAATTGCAGTATTTGTAAAAAGTATTATACACTGCAGGAAAATTTGATGAAACACTATACACCGTCTTTGTTATAAAAAGTGTTAGCTCATTATGCATTTGTATCAACTCTTATTAGTCAGCTGCACACGTCTCATTTTTTCCCTTAGAAAGACAGTGCTATTCTGTGCAAGTGTAAGCACAACACTCTACTCTAAAGGTCAATCAAATTGCATCAACTTTAGCGATCATACATATTTAATTAACATAGTCCGACTGAAGTGTAATTTCTCTCAATATACATACATGAACTACTTTGTAGATTGTAGATAGCCTGTACTGCAACTATTTTCCGTGCTCAAATCAATTATTTTTCTTTCTCACACGCCTGCTATACCAAGTATAAAACTGGTTATGAGGCATGTTCTGTCGGGCGAAATTAAGGAAAAAACATAAAACTTTATCGGTTATTGTTATTAACGCTACTTTCAGATGGGTGCCAACAAATGTAGTGGTAGCGCAAGCTGGATCCGATTACTGTCGATCAATATTGATCGAGGCAAGCACGAAATAACAAAACAACATAGTGAGAACGTGCTGTACGGCATATTATCGAGATTTCACGGGTAATCGATCCTTTCCCGCAATAATTGGAACCGTAACGCTTTCACGTAATCCCGTTTTAGTAACAATCAAATTGAACAACAACAAACGAAGTTATACACTTTCGTTTAAAAGGAAACCGTTACCAACGGTAACTCGAAAGTCCACCTATATTACAAAAAAAAAATCCGCGAATTATTTAAAATTTCAGCTTCACCAATCGAACTTCTAATCATCTCTTAAAGTAAAGATATTGCAATGTTATCGTGATTGATAAAATACATCTTACAAGTTAGCCAAGTTTATATCTATCTGAGTAAATGGCAATTAATTTATTCGTAGGTACGTTTAAGTATTTGTACATAAAAGCTAATATCGATTCATTGCATAGAAAGGTGAAATGCAAACTGATTGCATTATAGAAATGCATCTATTCGTTCCTTCGGGGAGGTATATTGAATATAGACAGCGAACATTATCCACAACCCTGAACTTATCTTAAACATACCGCCTGTTAACACTGTTCGATAAAGCTATAAAACATTAGTGTGTGCTTTACGCACACTTTTTTTGCGGGACAGAAGTTGCGAAATTCTTATATTATTCTTGGACCGTTAAATAAAATTTATGATTAGACAAATTGCAATTATATCTTTCTAATATAAAGTACGAATTTAAGTAAATAAGACTAGTATATATTGTGCTCAATGAAAAATAATCGTTTGTTTCACGTGCATTCTTTAATGAATATTATTGCGAATTCTTATAGTCTTATAAAAAACTAATCAGAATAATCTAAATTTTTTTCAGTGAATATCGCCAAAATTAAACAATTTCAGTAGAGCTATTGAGAACTGTCTTGCAAGTAAATAGCTACAGAGTAGAGTCTTATGACTAACATAAACGATTTTCTAGCTCTACTTATTAGTTACTCATAGTTTAGGCAAATGTGCATGCCAACGATAAAAATAAATACATTCTTCTATGAAATTGAAGGATCATAGAATTTTAAATAAAAGTTGTCGATCTTCGAGACGCTGTAATAAATCAATGTTCATTAATTTGTGTCTCCCTGCAGTTTTGCAAAAAAAAAAATGAGAACTCCTAGACTTGCTTGACTTTATAATGAATAAAAATCATCTTGAACTTTCTTCACTAATGTAAAAGAAAATCCAATTACAATGTAAAATAAGGATTATTGCACGATTTCTTTTCACGACGTCAACAGACTTCAAAGATCGACAATTTTTCAATTCATGATCCGATGATCTTAACTTTTGTCATTAGAAGTTGACAAAAAAAAGATCATGTAATAGTAAATTGTTATACTGTATATTAGAGAAATGATCAACGTACCATCAGCAGTCTTTCGTGTACGTTCAATGGCACGTCTACCACGTCTACCACGTCTTGTGACCCTCACATCTAAAATATTACAATATAAGAAGCATAATGTTAATAATTGTCCTTGAAAAATATGTATTAAAATAAAAAATACATAAACACGTAAGTATAATTAAAAATAAAATATGTTTGAAGACATGTAACAACTTTTCAGTTATACAGTTTTGTGAACTTCAAGTAGTCTAAATCAAAATTCGTCCAAAAGGAAGTCTGGTGAAATCGATTATCGACTTTCTCAAGTAAAACATGGCAATTGAGATGCTTGAAACATACTTCAACGTCCTGACCTACCCTTAGACGCTACCCGTACTAGAACGGTAATACAAGAGAGTCGTAAACGCCACCCTGCTACGCCACGCGACCCTCGGAAACACTGTGCGACGCAAACCAGCTCTTTGTAACAAGAGAGATAACCCCAGGAACGTTTAGTCCACCATGAGAAGGGTCTATGAAAGGGCGACGGATGAGATTTTGTAAGTGGACCACACTACCTGTCAATGCCGACGTCATCGATCGCCGTTAACGAAAAAGAAGAAAGAGAGTCGAGGCAAAGATTTACGAGTAGGATCCCGAGAAGGTCACAATTATGAGCAAAGGTCTAAACCGAAGTCGTAAAAACTTCGAAAGTTCGGTTTTACAGGGGAAGAAAATCTGGGCAACCACAAAACCTCGGTTTCGATTATCGTGTTCCCAGAACGATAATCGTTCAAACACGTACTAAATAACACTGGATGCTTAGGCACACTAAAGAGATCGTTAACCTATTAAGATATTATGATCACAACATGAAAATACGAAAGGATTAACCTAATTATTAAATAAAATTGATAGATGGAACGATGAAGCTAAGCCAAATTGCATTTTTATATTTTATTTAATTACTGTTAATCAGTGAACGATTCGAACATGTCAATATAAAACAAGTAACACCGGTGGCCTATGACTATTACATTGTGCAATATAATCTTTGAAATGCATCGTATTAACGCGGTATACGATCAGCGGAATCGCGCTATAGCAGTCGTATGCAATGGTGGAAATTATGTGGACACGAAGGAGAAAGAAATTAAAAAGGCACTAAATCTGTGCAGTTATCGCTGGTGTTATCTCAAGTTCGTGCATGCTATTTGAAGTATTAATATTTCTCTCTAGACCACCGGGTAAATTCAGAGCTGCTCAGCATAGCACAGCCCGCGGGGCAATACAAAATTTTCATGCAAACAGCAGGGAAACCGATTCCTCAATTAGAAGACAATTATTGGCTAAACGATTTGACGTTCTTTTCGGATCTCATTGACCACTTGAACACATTAAATGTCAGGCTACAAGGCAAAAAGAAAAATAGTAATCGATTTATTTGATGCCATAAGTGCTTTTAAGATGAAATTAGATCTTTGGGAAAAAGATTTAGAATCCGGAAATACAGTCTACTTTCCTAAATTAGGATCAGTAGGTACTAATAATACTTACGAACACTACCCGACCGTACCTCGTGACGATAAATTTACAAACCAATTTCGCGATATTTTAACAATAGAAAATGATTCTGATTTAATATCTTCTCCATTTTCAGTTAATTATGAGAACGTATTCCTGATGTATATTTAAAAATCATGTATCCGTTTTATTGATAGAATAAACCCGCGAATGTCCTACGTACACGATCACTTTTTCCCATCTATCTAATTTTCATATCTATATTCATCATCATATATATCATCCCATCATATCTAAATTTCTTCTATCCGCGCCAAACGCTTCTGCACGCGCGTAGCTCCTAGTTGCCATCAGATAAATTATCGCTATTATACATACAGCGGGATCACGATTAAACACAAATTATGACTCGATCTGAATCTCGTTTTTTATTCTATTGTGCGTATCCTGTCGATCACCAATGAAATTGATGTCTATGTTCAAAACTTTCACTTCTTCGACTCACCGAATAAATGCGACAAGAACGTAAGGGAGTATTAAAATTAAAATACATCTAAATACAATAATATACTAATAAATCTCGTGAACACTTTTACTTCGTAGGTAAATCTTGTAGCTAATCAAGAAATAATTGTATATAACATCGCACAAAATGAGAGAAACACAGAAATATATTTATTAAAAGACACAGGATAAGAAAAAGAAGGCATTATTAAGGATCGGATAAACTCGCGACGGTAGGCGTTACGTCCTCTGTATGCAACGTAAACCGTGGATGAAGTGGCATTATGTTTTCGCCAAGAACATCCTTCGCGAGTATAACAACGAAAGACGCGTTATTAAAAGGGTCTGCTCGATACCTCGAAGTGCACGCTCGTAAAGAGCAACTTTATAACCCCATATACCCGCTATAATCACCCCCTTGCAAACTGAAGCTACGATTCCCTCAGTTGCTCTGCTTCCGCCAAACTTTCCTGGCCATCGTTTGACCATACTACTTTTCCATTACCGAACGTTGATACAGTCCCCGTACCCGGTTAATTTTATCATTACGGATCCGTGGAAACATCCTGGTTGTAAATCAATTAAAGGGTTTTATAGCTCTTTAAATGAATGACTATCGTAAACCTTGGACCGGCCCGGATTCTACCCAGTGGATCATGAAAAAACGGGAGGGTCCTTGAAAATCATTAACGATCGCGGACCACTGTGAATCTTTTATTAATCTAGTTTCACAGTGTTTGAGATAAACACTTGTGATTCTTTTATTTCGTTGTCGAGATACTAATTCACAAAAGTACATTGAGCGATAAAATATTGGGGACATCGTTAAAAAGAATTGAATGCATGGAACTTTAGATAGAACAGACGATTGTTATATAAAAGTTCAATATCGACCGTGCGTTGAGACAGAGGAAAGCTTTAAAAATGTATGCATGGAATTGTTCAAGTATTCTTTTATTATTCATGCTAAGGATATCACGGACCCTTATCGTTAAAGCCTCTCGTTTAGCATCTATAAAAGAAGCGTGAACACGGGAGTAACAAAAGTATCACACGTGAAGGATCTATCATCATTCTTTGACAGAAGCAGAAGAACGCACGTACCACAACAATGAAAGGAAATACTCCAGCTGCGAGAATGAACACGGTCGTTTCCAACTCGTAAAAAATTTAAGCATCGTATCATGCGCATCGTGCGCTACTCGAAGGAAACATCGTTAAGGAACACCGAGTACCGAAGACTAGGTAAGAGGGAATCGGAAAGAGGTCGGCGCGCCCGTGGATTGACTTTCGTGTGGTTGGCCCGCGCGCAGACTTTACCCTCCTTTGAACCGTTTACGTCCGTGAACAAACTATTTCACCCGAAAGCGAGCAAAATAACGATAACTTTTAAAAACGAGCCAGATCGTAAAAGCAAGAGCGAGCTCCCAGGCTTCGGCTTTAGTTATAAGTTCGTATTATATTAGCCGGCTTGAACGACTCGCCGCCCAATGGGAACGATCGTAAAACCAGGGTTAACATTCGGTCGGGTTGTCAAGTGAAAGAGTGGCTTGAATTTCGTTGGGATCGCTGCGGACGACGTTATAAGTACGTTCGTTCGGATATGGGTATCAGCATGACTGTTCCGAGGGCTTTTGTTCAAATTGGAGTCACCGATCGCAGACCGAAGCTCGCCAAACGGTCTCGATTGCGAACGATTAGACCTCCTTATCGCTGTGGCGAATTAACGCTTCATAATAGTTCGACGTATGCATAAAACGAATCGTACAAGACATAGCAGATGTAAGATCTGTAATGAAATTTCGAGGAATTTATACAACACAATACGTGCATCAAATATCGTTGCACAACAGTCCTTTTGAATACAATTCTCTGCGTGTAAGATGCAGTTAACGTTCACTGTCCGAGATTCCAGCCGGAGAAAATGTGCGTACAGGCGCATCGCTCTTCGAAGAGGTTTTATATCTTTCGTCGTTTAATATAACGCGACGGTCGTAATCGTAAGAATGCTATAAGCAAACAGTAACAAACGTTCGATTCGTCGAATCGGAGCATAGTGCACGAATTGTCCCCACCAAGAATAAATAATCTCTGATTACTCATTAATCGAACTCCTTCAAATATTTTGTACAGTAATTACGAACGGTATAATGAGACGTATGTGACCGAGCGACTAAATAATAGCCTTCTCATGAATACCATTGAATACCCGTCATTGTTTGAAAATCGTTCTACAAGGGAGGTTCTCTTATCTGACAGTTCAAGTTACTTTATAAGAATCATTTTGTTTCCTGTGCTTGTTTCCCGTCGTAAAAAAATAACAGGGTCCAGGCTCGGTAACAAAGTGTTCTATTTTACATTTTATAAATACTCCTTAAGAATTTGATTATTATTTTTTTCAATACTTCAGAACGCATCGATAAAAGAAATGAAGAGATATCGACGCATTTTACCAAATGGTATAATCAGAAAGATGAAAAATGGGAAATAACAGCCCATATGAGTAAAGCATATGGCCTGTGAAACCCGCATCACTTGCATAATTTTAACGGAGCACGTTGAGCGCGCATAAAACTCAGTAGCCGTGAGATTAACATACACGAGAAATCGTCAATTAAATCTGCTTTCCTTCTGCTCATAGACCTGCTCCATAACAGTTAAATTTACTTCGTACATAGCGATCGAGTAACGTGTAATTAACACGGTTACTGTGATTTTACTCGCGTTTAAAATTTTGAAATGCGTCATTTGCATAAGCTACGTGAACCGTATTGAACGAGCAATCGACAATGTACTCAATAAATTGCCTTCCCAATTCGAAAACTCGTTAATGCCAATAATTGACACGTACGTAATACCTTAATGTAAGTTCATTATATTTATAATTAAAAAGAAATACCCTCCGAAAATTATTCTTATACCATACGCTTCACTATGTTTTATCAGAAATTCTTATGTTTAGAAATAATGAAGTATGATGCTGCTAGAAAATACGGGTTTCATATGTGAACCAAAGAGGTGACTAAAAGACGGGAAACGGAGACGAGCAACAGGTAGGCAATCTCGGTCTTCGACGTGCACACGTACACAGATTACATGTCCATCCGTCGATTCAACGCAAACGAGTGAATGCACACACTTCTATAAATAGGATGACCCTCCGTATACTTAGCATATTATTGATACGATTTCGCAAATATTGCATGAATAAGAGTTCTTTAAATTTGATAGCAACTTGGGTTTCACAGTACATGAAACGTATAAATCATTGACACTACGTACCTTCAGAAGATTTGAAATACTCATTTGAAATCAACAATCAAATATTAATTTTTTTAGACATTTTCAAATATCTGTTTTTACAGAATCTCGCATGCTATAATTTTTTGTATCCTGTCCCAATAGCTTCAACGATTTAGTTAACACATATTGTGGTTCTCCAATAAGAAACAATACTATTTACCTCTACCAATTTATGGACAACAGCAACAGTCATTAATTTTGTACATTAATATGAACAAACGTGGCGATCTAACAGGTATCGGTTTTACCATATCAAGCAAATATCTAAATATACATTATTGCACTATTCGTCAACGACCTCGATGTTAGTGTTACAAAACTGCTGTAGTGAAAAATAAAACGAAAGAAAACAATAATATTGTCACTTACTGTTCTGTGCCTGTGACGCAGGACTGGTGATGTTCGTACCGTCCGGGAATACCGACAAGTTTTTGGTAAAAGGAAACTCCAAACCGACTGGCAGCGGATCGACCTGTTGGGGAGAGATCAATTACGATCAGAGACCACGGAGATAACAACATCGTATTTAACATGAATTTATCGCATATATACAAGGCAAATAGGAAACACATGTCGGCAATTTGGCTCGTATTACGGGTAGCCGTGTTAAGAACGCGGTGAGATACGAAATGGGTAATCATCTCGCGTGATTGTGTTCGAGTAATTACCTTATCCGCGATTACGAATCGACATCGCGAGGGGTCAAGCTTAATATGCAATCGCCGAATGAATAATTTATTTCTACGAACGCCTGCACTGTTTCTCGATATTTTTACGATCTACAAATTTTTTGAACAAGCAATAAATATTCATCGTACAGAAAACGAACTACGGAATTGTTCTGTATTTTGTTGAATGCTTAGAAATATGCAGATTCTTGATAAATGTCCATCTAAAACGTGACTCACCTCTCCCTTCAATTTAATTTTCACTTCATCTTGCTCCACCGCTCTCCTTAACGCAATTTGAACCGCCGTAACTCGTTGCCGCGCGAATGTAACGAAACACTGATCGCAGACGCAGTTACGATACTTGCAGAACCTCTTGTGCGACTTGAGGGGTATATATAGCCCGTGATTCCGGCACCGCGCACAATTTTTCACCTTGTTCTTGGGCTGATTCGTGTCTGACCGCATGGAACCCACCACGCTCCAATTCTCTATACCGTCCTTAGAAACGTCCGAAGTGTCGGACATTTTCTCACTCGCCGGCTCTTGGGCCGACAAGCTGGCCACTTTGTTGTACCCCTCCGTTTTTCAACCGTTTGTGACTCTGTGTCCAGAGTCTGCGTATCACAGGAAAAAAACGATTCTTAATATGCGCCTGGTAGCAGACGGCTCATTGATAAGCTGTCGTCTTTATATTTGCACGGAGTTGAGTTCGGACATTGTTCTTTTTTCAGAAGTGGAATTCTGCAAAATAAGATAAAGAAATACCTATTTAAAAGCAGTTCTTTTAACTTAGTCATTTACTTAAAATTCACATAATAGCTATTTATTTCGAACAGTAGATGAAGTAATAGATGGGTCGAAACAATATTCTATTTCCGTCGATTTGAACTCGCTTTTACGTATCAAGTAGGTTAAACATTGTATTACAATTGCGATACTCGATTAAAGAATCACGAACTCCGTGAATTAACCGTGGACAATGATTTAGAGAATAGTGGGAAATGAAGTGAGTATTAATGGTATACAAAGTGTTAAGCGCAATGTAGGCAGAGATAAGGTGGTATGAATCTTCATTTGAAATCTGAAGCTTGTTGGATAGTAAACAGTGGTCGTAGAGGCCCTGCATCCTTGATGTGAGGACAGATAGACAAGTATTCTTATACAAATATACATACATATAGCCCCTCCAGCCGATCTATCGTCTGATAATTCTTGTACATACATATAATTATCGTGTGGATAGAAAGTTGCAGTATATGGATTAAATCAACTGCACTTCGGAGCAACACATTATAAATGGAAATAAATTGAATACCTTATCTCTGATGGCGAGTTATCAATAAATGGAATATTTCACAATGTTTTTTTTATTAAAATACCTGATTATCACGAAACTGTGAAGATATATTCGAACTGTACATACATATATTTCATGTCTGGACGCAATATGTATTTGTACAGAACGAATGTTAATTACTTAATAATTTCATATCTCGTAGTTTTATAATATTATGTACACTCTAGACAACTCATATCGCGTAATTTTATGTTTTACATTGCATCGACGCATTTATCGTGCTTCAACATTTGTACAAATTTAAAACTACGATTAAGAACAACAATCAATATTTGTATTACACTCAAGAAAGTTGTCGATCGTTCCTAGAAAAGTAATTTACTACTTTCCGTTGTATTCGATAAATAAATTTTCTAATCGAATTCTTCGAATCATACTTTTCCTTTAGGAATCGGACAGGTAAATTGTCCAATAAAATAGTTGTGAACTTTATAATTTATCGAATAGCAATTCTACAATCTTAATAATATGTAGAACTGGTATAAAATTGTCACCGCAAGGAAAGGAAATTCTACTAATCCAGACCGCCGAGGAAAGATCTCTACTAATCCTCTCCTCGTCCACAGGCCTTAAGACGATTTGCATTCGGTCGAGATACTTCGATTATTAATAACGTTTATTGTAATTACGTATCCTTATCGATAGTGGAAAGAAATGTTACACGATATCCTATCGCGCATTAAAGAAAGTAATGAAACTCATGCTAATTACGGTTTCGACGATACACGGATTCGATGAGCAACTTGCATCTTGTATACAAAAAGTCGAAGCCTACTTGCATATTCAAAAATAAAAATTCAAATACTGCATGCATATTTACCTCAATTTTAAAAACCGTGAATATCTACGAGGATTAATTCAGAAAGACAAAAGAATCTTAGCTATTCATGTTAACGTTTTCCACATAATTAAAAATTAATCTGTTGTTTTATATACTTTCAAAGGCATGTTAGAATTCATTTATGAATTTATAGAAAAAATCTAAGTACTTGACTTAGTATAAAAATTTACATTCTAATCATTATGCTTTACTAGATAGGTAAGACGGTGAACATATACAATGCCTCTCTGTGAACAATATATTTTATTTTATATATTTATATTATATATTTTATTTACCCGGTGTATCAAAGCCACCATAGTGTTTATAGTTTGCCCAAGCCAAGTAGGTTTCTCATGGCTTGGCAACAATTTGACTTATGCACATGACATTATGATACTTTGTTTCATGTTATAAAATACATCGTTTCCGTTCAGCCTTTGCCAAATCTGAATTTGTTCTCATAAATCATGAACACACGTTCGTGACATTGCATCGTATAACACGGATTTATCGCATCCTATCAATTGAGTGGGTGACCACGTCTAATTGTGCGCAAAGCCAAGGCGCGATGCACGTTTCTTGTCGATCATGTTCTGCTTCCCGTTGATTCTTTCCAGAACATCAAACCGTGCCGAGGCAATCTCGAACAAACGCGAATCGAACACCCTTTACCTCCCCCCCATCGATCCGTGATTCACTTTCTTCTCTTGCGTCGACCGGCAATTCGTTCGTTTCGGCGGCATTTCACCGTGAAGATTGAATTTTACCGAAAGATCTTTGCGGCCAATTCGGCAAATTTTCACGTTCCGACACGATTGTATAATCAACCGATCGCCTCTTTTTTATTACCTGTTCTTTCCGTGAAATTTGACAAGTTTTTTGTATGATATAAAATGCAAAAATGACAGGGTATTCTTTAAATCTTTCACTCATACACACACATTTCATAAAAAGCTATCGAATACAAAACAAGATTCTAATGCCTTGTAATATTTCAAACCTGAATTTCATTTCTCTTCTACTCCACTCAAACTGCACTATGACTGGGGTCGCAGATAAGAAATTAGAATGTTTTACGAGACTCGATGGGTTGCAGAATCGAAGAAAAATAGTGAAGTCGAGTGTCAATGAACTGTTTGTTACCGGAAGACGGTTAGCGAAATTAACATAAGCACACACGTCGCGACAAACTGCAGGTGTATGGCTGTGTACGATGCAATTCATTTTCCTATCCATGTGCGTGTATTCAACACTTCAAATATGCTTCTTACATCGTGATAAGACATGCATCTAACCACCTCTTACTAATATGTATGTATAGGTGCGACACGTGTCTCGCATATATTCAGTTTCCTTTCTCAATAAAAGTAGAATTCTTTTTAGTGGAAAGAAACTGGAATTTGTTTCCTTAATCGATCTATGATATGAAGAAATTAATATTTCAAAGGATGAACACGAGGCTAATATCCTTGTCTACAATGTCTACAGATGCATCATGAATAGAGTATGCTCAAAATCGATGCAAACGTTTATAAAAATAACATAGTACTAGCTGGATATGAAATCGGGAAAAAATAATGGTTACTTATGAACTATATATTACACGCACGGAATAACCGCTTCGAGTCCCTTGCAAAATGCAACTCAATTATTACTCGAATAATGTCCCATATGCGTCCATAAATAAATGAACCACAAACTAAACTACAATTTTAGAACGCGATTCACAGCTGATCAATGACAATAATCAAGAGCGAAAGAAGACGGAAAAGAATAAAGAATAAATGATAATCGATATTATAATCTCACCTAATAATGTTGTAGTAGAACGTTCGTCAGTTTATTGAAAGTTCCTTATCTTGTTTCGTCGCACTGTCACAGTTCCCTTTCAAGCTGTCGCCGGAGCACAGTTAACCGATTCAATGATTGAAACTTATAACCGGAATTATTGTCGCGATATATCACTAAGTACGTTACACTATTAGCTGAATCGCGTTACACAGTTTCATCACGAAGAGGTGGTTATCGCGCGGTTTTCACGTACTTACGGGAAAACACGCATACTTCCCGCGTTCTCGCGATAACTCTCGTTTCGCCTTTTTCGTAAACAGTAACAACGTGGACGGACCCACACGCGAGATCCCGTCCCGATGTTCGAATACTCCGCGAAAGCCTCTCACGAGAAAGGCATCGTTCTCCTTTCTCTGAAACTCTCAAAGAATCCCCCGTTTCTGGCAGCACACGGTGCTTGGATAAATGTCACGAAACGAAACGCGCAGGCAAGCAACAGCACGAAATGGCCTTCTTTGGCTCTGGTAGCGTAATAACCGTGGATCGAATGGAAACGCGGTTGTACGTGACGGATCGTGACGAGGTATTCGAGACGGAGACGACAACGGCGTCCAGGAATATATTTGGACGCTGAAACGTGGAAAAACGTGAACGGAATCCACCGATACCACACTACCGACGTGCACTTGCATGCGGTTCGTAACTCACTAAAGTGCGGGTAACCGAAGATGCCAGATTGAGGACGGGAGCCGCCGAGAATCAGCCCCTCCACTTACGCACACTATCACATCGTATCCGTGTGCTCCGAGCTCGGCTCAACTTCGGCTCAGTAGAGAGAGAAGACGAAACATCAGTCCGTCACTCTTGCTCCTGATGCGTTGAAGTCCAAGTGGCGCGAAGCCGACTGACGACTGTTTGAAGTCTCCTGCGCATTACTTATAAGTTAATATCATGAAAAAAAATGAAAATTTTTCGTTGCGGAAAAATCAGATACCAATCTAAATATCTCTCATGTCAGCTGACAGTTTGTATTGTAGCTTTGCTAAGACGCAGAGCAATAGATTGCGTTTACATGCAGTAGATATTTAAATTGATCGAATTAGTGATGTCCAGAATGTATTAAAATTTTACTTGTATATATACTGCCTAGTACCAAGGGGGAGACCCCTGGGAATGGACCGAGTGGCCTGGTACCAAAGGGGCAGCCTTAAGAGTGTGCCCATTGGTTTGGTACCAAGGGGCGATTTTTGGGATCGGCTTGGTATCAAGGGGGACCCTTGGGAGTGAACCCAGCGACCTGGTACCAAGGGCAGACCTTTGGTACCAGATACCAATTTATGTCAGCTGACAATTTGTATTGTAGCTCTGCTAAGAAGCAGAGCAGTAGATTACGGTTGCCGTAGATATTTATTTTTTCTTAAGATTGATATAAGAATGATTGTATAAGATTAACAATTGTATAAGACATAAAAAAAAATTCATTTTCTCATATGGTCTTATGTGATCAGAAGGTGATAAAATATGTTTTTCCGCAACGAAAAATTTCCATTTTTTTTTAATAACATTAACTTATAATGGGAAGAAAGACGGGAATCGAAAGTTCCAACAATCGTCAGTCGGCTGCGCGTCGTTTAGACTTCAAGGAATTAGGAGCAAGAGCGATGATGTTTCACCTTCTCTCTCTCCTGAGCCGGAGTTGAGCCGAGCTCGGAGCGCACGGATACGGTGTAATGGTGTGCGTAAGTGGAGGGGCTGATTCTCGGTGGCTTTCATCTTCAATCTGGCATCTTTGCTGGTACAGCGGCATGCTGACGGAGATGCACGGCCGTCTGCGGTCGGGAGGGGGTATCATCACTGGTCACGGGGTGGAAACACGAGGGACACCCGGCTTTCAGGAGAGCGAGGGGTCACTCTCGTTCCTTTTCTGTCGTTCTCTATTCTCTGTCTCTGTCGCTTTCGTCGAGGAAGTGGTGGTGGCCAGAACGAATGGTGGTGGCTTGCGACTTCGCAGACGAACATTCTTTTACGATTCAATCTATGAATCCTCCGTTCATAAGTCGCATCTATGAATCCCTGATCGTAACAATACTGTTGTCCAATATCCAATACTTTTTCATATTGATACTTGATTAGGCAATTACAAATGAAATTTACAGCCCATATTAGATCTTGATTATATTGGAATAAACATTGTATTTCGCAGTTAAAGTCGTGAGCATCACAATTTGTGACTTCCTTATTTTCTCCATTGAATTTGTTCTTCGTGTGTACAAATATTTGTAGAAAAATAGCTACAAGTTGTAACTCCTTTTAAGAACTTCTATAAAACAGTGAAAGAAATCTAAGTAATAGATACGTTTAATAAAGGAACTAGATAATCCAAGAACAACATTTTTCTTACAAACAAAAGTAAATTAATATAATAAACGAATAAGGATTAATCTATTGGTGAAGGGCTAAATAATATTATACATATATATTTTTTTATTGTTACGAAAAACAAATTGTATCATAATAATCAAGAAAAAAGCTATTCTACCGGTTCATTATGTTATTATGTTTATGAAATAGGCATGTTTTATAAAAACAAGTGCAAATTAATTAAAACTACGTACTTAATCATTTGACTGCAGTATTTAAATAAATTATCATTTTCTACACGTGCACGTTTAGTGGCTGAATATCGCTTTGATTTTATGACTGTTATGTATGCATAGTGATTACATAAATAATCTTCATACGCGTTTAGTAATTTAACAGAGTTATTAATAGTCCAGTTTCTGTTGCAAGTTAAGGTGACATGAATAGTTGATAAGTGTTAAAAACCGATTGACCGTTTTGCAATCATCATCAAAATCATTGAATTATCACCTGCTAAGAACCACTTGCGTTTACTAATCATCGAGTTTGTTTGTTTATAATAAAATATGATATACCTTTGGCATGAATGAATCTCAGGGTCGATATTTCTACGCCGGCAGATTAATTTTCAATGATAAGGGTATGTTGATTAAATATGTAGATTACATACAAATAGAATAATGTATTGTGTGTAACTCCAGATTTAAATGAAGTTTGAATAGGATTTTCTACGTTCATAAGACAAAATTTAAAAAATCAGATTACAATTGCGTTTGTTTCTGATCTGATGACGATGATGATGATGATGATGAATTGTAATCTGATTTTTTGGTTAAATTGGTTACATATGTAATCAACAGTTCCTTATTTTACATGTAATCAACATTTCCTTATAATCCCTTAATTGGTTACATTTGTAATCAAGATTTCTTTATGAACAGTAATAACAGCTTCAGGAATAATAAAGTTAAGATTCCGTGCGTACATCGGAAATATACATATCTTTAGTTATCTTAAAAATACGTCTAATTGCACGAGTATTCGAAATATTACTAATTACGTGAGTCTATCGTGGTATACATCAGAAAGGGGATTATGGCAGTAATTTACAGCATTAAGTTCAGGTTTACGTACCCGTTACAGTTGGATGACTGCTCTTGAATTATTCGGAGCAGAATTTATTTTTCTACAGAGAATGGTGTATAATATAGGACCTTCATACGCGGACATATTAATCATCTGCTTCCCGGTTATTCGAACGTGTAAGCAATAAAAATAAAAGACGTCCATCGTATTTCAAACTCGAATCTCTTGTTCCGAATTTCGCTCCCAGTTCCCCGATCAATCGAGGTAAAGGCGATACGTATTTTAACGACACGATTCGCGCAACCATAGACGATTGCGTTAAAATTGCAAAGTAAATAATGGAAAGGAAGCGCATGCACGTACGTGGACGTAAAACGCCATAAAAGTAGTTATGCCTATGCGTGTGCGTGTGGTCGCAAACAAGCCGAGAGTCGTAAAACGAATCTCGGCGCGCAAAAAAGATTTGATATATGTATGTACGCATTCGGGCCTTATATTTAATGTCCCTCTTTCCTTCGTTTTACATAAACGGTGTCTTGTATTTACGCTAGCGACTCCGCTTTATAGATAACCAAAGTGCTTACACCAATCGTTCAATCTGATATAAAATATTTTATACACGTATCTTTCTCCCGGTTTATGGACTTGTGGATCAATGTCCTTATGCCGTTCAACAGACAGATAAATATCTTACGTCGTTCAACAACAGGTAAATATCGTAGCCGATTTCTGTATAAATCCTCCGCCTTATCTCTTACCTAAACCCATAGAATTAATGCCTTTATACGCGTCTCCCGTGGAACGATGTTCAAGTCTCCCGGCCTCGGCGAGTATTAAAAAAGTGTAAGAAATCGTACGACAGTTAATAACTTCGAAACTTTTGATTCAAGAAGATTTAAATGATCGTGATTGACTCGCTTAGAAGCAATAGTAGTAGTAGTAGTTGTTACTGTCAACCAGAGGTAACAGCAGAGTTCCACTAATGGTCATGGGGTTTAGATGAGCAATAGGTGGATGTCGGAGATTCGGGTAGAAGGACGATCGTAAAACGTTCCGGAGTGGATTCACCTAGCGATAGTCAACAACAGATACGCGTGCACACGCGATATCACGGTGGTACTTTAACTGCGGCTGAATTTACTGATTGTACCGCGACAACTATTACCCTTGCGGTGGAGACGACATTTTAGGCGTTCTTGAAATTCTTCGGCTAAAGTTACTGCCTAATTGTTCTTCGCTAATTATAAACACTGTTTCAAGGGATTAGAAAATTAAAAGATCGTTGATTTTTCTAACTGTGTCGAGCACGTGTAGAACACTTGGCCTTCTAACAGTCGATGCTTTGAAACGAATCTTGCATCGTGAATTTATAGTATCGAAAGTCGAGAGGAGAGGATACAATTGCTGGCGAGCTGGAGTTAAAATACTTTTTGTGCCTTTAATGATGGCGCAGCGCATTCCGTGCAACATGAACGGCCGGGCGAGTTCGTGAAAAAACAAGAATTCCGACGGGTGATGGGGATGGATAATTCGGGTCCGACGTAAAAATGCAGAGACACCGGTGGGTCGGGGCTTGTTGACTTCAGCTGACTTGTTTTATCTGCCGTTCGTCATCTTCGGTCACCTTTCAAGACTGTTAAGACCAGCGAAATGCGGAACAACGTGTTTTCGACATAACACTATTAAATCCGTTCTAACCGTCGAATGCACCTTTAGATATGCGTCACAGGCTGTTTTACTGACATGAACGTACAGTACGTTGCGGACAATGAACGCCGATAAATACCTAACTGACAGTAAATATTTGCGTCGTCATTCATAGATCTTTTTCGTACGAGATACGCATATGATGAATACTAATCATGTACACACGTAAAATCAATAGTAGTATTTGGAAAAACCCAAGTGACTGCTTTAAATTACAAGAAGAAAGTGATTTCTAATATTTTATTAATACGCATCGAACGAAAACTGTATTTCGTTCAATTAGCTGTATTTCCCAAGGAACAAACTCTCCTGTGACGTGCATTCGTTTTACACTCGTCGATGGTTAAAGAAAAAATAAAACGCGACGATCTTCGACGGACTATAAATTAATGGAAATCCGAGCAAAAGTCTAATGAATTAGCGTGGATAGATTACAGCACAATTCCATGTTTAGCTTTGTCAATACTAATACGGATCTTACTTGCAACAGGTTTTTTAATATTGTTCATTCGTTTAAGATCTCTTAATTGACCTTTTTGACCCGACGCGAAAAAGAAAAAAAGTGCAAGTAAGTGCTTTCTGAGATAATACTTCATTTATCAGAGTGTAAAAACAGCTGGTTTTGCGTCCTGTCTTAAAAACCAGTCCAATCACTTTAAAGTGTACTAATTCATGAAGCAATTAACGAGGATGATCAACGCATTTCAGACTAGATCTCCCTCGTGCAAAGATGAGATTGCTGTTTTCTTCTGAAATAAGCGCTGCACATTTCGCGGTGAACCTTAACTCCAGCATGTACGCAATTGCAAAAATAAGAATGAAAGACTGTACCAAGAATGGAGATCGACTAAATGAAAAAGCTGAATTCTACGTTAAGCGAATGGCATGCCTTTGAAATAATTTTATAACAATGGTATCGATCATTGTTCGTTTTATGAATTAATCTGGATCTAAATTCCTGTACAGACGTAAAATTGTGTTTCGATCCGTTTATGCGCAAATTGGCAATACTCATCGGTTACTTTTTGCAGAATGAACCCTTTTAGTTACTTGAATACGAGCCAGCGTCGATCAACTTAATTATAAATTCCAAAGTATAAATAGCAGAAATTACGTCAATAACCAGGTTGAAGGACGAATTCACTGGAGAGAAGATATTATACCAAAAGAGTGTAAAACCACTAATATGGTACATCAATTTTATTGATATAATCGGTTTCTAATTAAGCGGAAACCGGTAAGCCGATAGCACTTTTTTTCCATAAAGGGGCATTGCCATATCTCCTTGTTTCGTTCGACAGGAAAATGAAAGTAATTTTGTAGAAAATTAGAATGTTATTGAAGGAATGCTCGAAGGATGCATAAAATCTATTTCATCCCTGAACCGACACTGTCCATCCTACTGGTATGTGAATGAACCGCAAAAATAATGTACGATACAATTACGGGGAGTGGCGAATATTAACAGGTCTTAATGATACGTGATAATTCATCCCGCTGAGACACTAAATAAATGTTGGGACATGTAATATTTAACTGGTTCACTAATATTCCTGACTGCCCCCGTGAGAGCCCGCTTATTTACTGTAATAAAGACGTCACGCAGCTGTTCATTAGTTTTCGCTTCCCTTTCTCGCGTCTTGCTCCGTTGCGAATCGGGTTGTCTTTCGGTAAAACAGTATGCAGCATGCCGTTTTAGCTATCTGAATGGCCATTGTAAATCGAATATGCAAATGAATAAGTTTTTGTCTCTGTTTTCTTCATTTTAGTACATACATCATTTTTTAAACTGTTAGTTACGGGCAATCGTCTGGGCGTGACTGGAATAATAATCGGTCACATAGTCAAGGTACTGTTCATTGATGCATGAAAATCGATTGACTCATAAATTCCTGCCAAATTACATGACACGACGCGCGGCTGTTTCATTTGCAAATTTCCCGATTATATTATATATTATATTATTTAAAAATTAGAGTATTAAGAAATTTTACCTAATTGTATTAGAAACGCGCATGGATTCATTCAGAAAACTGAGCAACACTCTGCATTCGCACTTTCGTGAGTATAGCATAATAATAAATTCATCGAGTACTTTATTTTTTTTCCTTTCACATAGACAAGAATCCTTTTAGAAATCTTTCATATCCATTGCCGGAGCTACTCGTACTCAGTAATCTCAGTGGTTTCCATCAGGTGAAAGTTTGACACATTGGCATTAGCCATCGAACGTGTCTCTCTAGTAATATTTATTATTTAATTGTGTAATAAGAAATGCTTCTATTCTAAAGAATACTATAAAAATCGTCGTATTTCCTATTTTTATTCCAGACTACTTGAAAGAATCTTCTACATAATCTTGTACGTACATTTTATACATAAAGTAATCGGATAAGTCTTGTTCACTTGTCTACGGATGGGACATTCACGGACGAATGTCCAATCAGCTATAAGATCGTGGCAATTACGGTCTCGTAATCTCGTAAAGTTATTATATTTGGTTTTATTGCATCGCAATTCCGATTACGCACGCGGTGCTCCTCTTCCATTTTTAAATAGAGACGTGAAGTTGGTCAGAACAGAATCTTTGAAGTCGAACGCGCAGCTCCTGGAGTTTTGTGGCTTGTTTCATGTCGTTAATGCATATGTACTGTAACGAAGTAAACAAGAAAGTAACAGATAGAATAGAAGATACTAAATTTATGTGTGATAATAGATGTTCGCGTACATAATGCTTTATAATGTCACGTTATCATCCGTTAGAAATGTGTTAAATTAAATGCTTATGATCAAGCTTATGACTTAACCTCAACGATTGTTGCTATTTATTTCTGAGTAAGATTAATTGATCGTAAACACCGTGCAGCGAACACATTTCTCGTAAGTATGATTTGATAATAAATCACGTATTTTATGCATGACGATGTGCTGCACAATTGTGATAACTTACGATGCTTTGAATTTTCACTAATTCCACTGCTGCTATTTTACGATACCTGTGACACGATGACATTTTTATGTTATCCAGGCTGCTCGATTATGAATCCTGATATTCAACAAAAGATAATCAAGTTCGAAACGTTTATCAATGATGTGTTGAAAGAAGATCTGGCCCAGTTAGAGCAGAAACTGGATTCGAAGAATGCAGATGTTGCAGAGTTCCTCCAGTTAAAGACTATGATAAACACTCTTGAAAGTAATGGCCTTGATAAGAGTGGATTTAAAACACAAGTAGATATTGGACAGAATTTCTTTATCGAAGCACAAGTTCCTGATGCCTCTACCATTCTGCTGGACGTTGGCTTGGGTCATTACGTTGAATTTTCCCTGAACGATGCCTTAGCTGTTATCAATGTTAGAATCAAACTATTGGAAAAGCAGATTGCAAATCTTCGCAAGGAGATAGCAAGGACAAACGCTCACATCAAGCTGATCCTCCTAGGCATCAGGGAACTGGAAGGATTCGACAAAGATTGATTGCCAAATTTTTCATAACTTTGCACACAACTTTATCTGTACATATTTCTGTATTAAACACTTGTACATATTAGATATATATAAATAAATAATAGATCACATGAAACAAATAACTACTTACACATTTCCTTGTGCTCTTCACTTCCAAAATCGTTAACGCTAATCGATCTAACTGGGTTTCTTTGCGTGATGCACTCGCATGCTTTAATTCAATGCAAATCATACGCTGTACATGTACATACCTCATTAATTTCCTACCCCAAATATCTCGCTTTTGTTTCCTCGTTAAGCGTAATTGCTTGAATTTACGAGGACCTTGTGCCTCGTTTATAAAGTAGAGGTCAACGGCGAGAGGATCAGTGCGTTCTTTCGTCTGCCTCGAACTTGCTACCCTCTTCTCGCGTTTCATCGTTCACTTTAATGTCGGATTGGCAGAGCATACTATGCGCGGAAAGACACAAAGAATTCCTCGAGAAACTAGTCGCGGTGTTATTCGATTACGCCTTCGAAAGTTTGTCCCGTGATAATCCTGTGTCAAGATGGAGAGAGCCGAGTTACCTGGAAGGGATCATAGACTTCAAGCTGCAGGAGCAACCCAGGAGCCAGGACAGGCTTCTAGAAGTCGCAGCAAAGATTCTCAAGTATAGCGTGAAGACAGGACATCCTTACTTTATGAATCAATTGTTCTCGGGGTGAGATTTCGACAAGTGCATGAGTACCGCTTTGTAAAAATGAATGCTGCGATCTATTTTTTAAGATAATTTAGCAAAACTGCGAGAGTTTAATATCTTAAAATAATTATCGGTGATGAATACTTGTTCTTTACATAAGTTCGTCTGTTGCCGTTAATTTATGGCTGAAGAATAACGAATTGTCAATTCTATAGTATAGCGTAAGGAAAATAAAATTTTTAATCTACATCACTTCTCCGGTTTTTTCTTAACAAACGAAAATTGCATGAAATTGCCATTAATAAAATAATATGTAGCAAGTAATCATTTTCTTATGCTCATTTCTGTTCTTTACGTTTAATTATAATTATAGTTCAATTTCTCACTGATGAAATAAGATAAGTATTGAATAATAGTTGGCATTTTCTGTTGCTTTGCTTATTTTATTTCAAGCTTTGTTGAAATTTGGTGTATAATATAGACAATTTACTCAGATGAAAATTTATTTAGATTGGACCCATATGGTTTGGCCGGGCAATGGCTTACGGACTCGTTGAACTCTTCAGTATACACATACGAAGTAGCGCCGGTCTTGACACTAATGGAAAAGACAGTAATAAGAAAATTGTTAAATATGTTTTATAAGGAAGAGAATGGAACTATCATAGGGGACGGCCTCTTTTGCCCAGGCGGATCTTTCGGCAACGGCATTGCTATTAACTTAGCGCGATTCTGGTTTCGGAAAAAATCCGAGAACGTGAGTACTTAAATGTAATATTAATTAGGAAATTCATGTAATGGAATCATTCCCAAACTACTCGGAATCAGAATTTATCTTTTAATATTAATTATTAATTTTAACAATTATTGTGTATGCGTAAAACCTGGCGTCTATTAACGTTCATATTCCAGATGAAAAATATACCGTCGTCAAACCTAGTCCTTTTTACATCCGAAGATGCTCATTACTCGGTCTCAAAGTGGGCAAACGTATGCGACGTAGAGATCGTGCTAATAAAAACGGACGCGTACGGCAGAATGAATGTTAACGACCTGAGAGTTAAGATATTGAGTGAAGAAGAAAAAGGAAATTATTCATTCGCCGTTTCCGCGACTGCAGGTACGTCAAATGATAACGGGAGAATGATAATCCGCAATTAATTATAACCGAAGCTATAACCGATTTGCAATTATTTCTAGGGACCACAGTTTTGGGTGCGTTCGATCCACTTATCGAGATCTCTAATATTTGTCAAGAGTTCGGTATGTGGCTGCACGTTGACGCGGCTTGGGGCGGCGGTTTGATATTCAGCAAACGGCACAGCGCTCTTTTACGAGGAATACAGAGAGCGGATTCTATTTTGTTCAATCCGCATAAATTGCTGGCCGTTCCTCAGCAATGCTCGTTACTTTTGACTAAGCACGAGAGCATCCTTAAAGACGCACATTCTAAGCAAGCTCCCTATCTGTTCCAAAAGGATAAATTCTACCCCGCGGATTTAGACGTTGGTGATAAATACCTACAGTGCGGACGCAGGCCAGATGTTCTGAAATTTTGGTTTATGTGGCAGGCTAAGGTAATCCTCCACATTAAACGCTTAATTCCTGAGCTGAGTTTATACAGGATCATTTAGATTGTCACGCTGACGGAATATATTCGCTGTTTGAAAAGTATCCCCTCCTTAAAGATCATGCTGGCTCGGATGATGATCTCCTCGCGTGCCATGCAAGTTCCACTCCTTGTCGTATTAATTTCTAAGTATCACTTATGCAAATATGTGAAAAACTAGCCTTGGTAGCACTTTTTCCCCTGATATCTTCCTTGTGGTTGTGCATCTTCTACTTTGTGATTTAAGCAGCTCTGCCGTGATGCACATCGTACAAGACAAGGGTCTGTGTGCTATGTTTCAAGTGTTTGCCACTATACTTACGCATACATTATCGTCCCCTGCTAGGAATAAAGAATGTTCACACTGCACCTATTCAGTGCATTTTCAAGATCGTAAAAGAATCTCCTGAAAATTCTCAAGGGGGTCTGTAGGTACCAGTGCCTTCAGACGATTAACTTCTGAATTTATCGCTTCCAACTCACACATTTCCATATTACATCCTTCTTAGCATACCTTAGATTCAATTAATAAGTTGTTCAACGATTTCTCGATTGTTAGTATTGGAAAACGCTTAGACAAGTAATATTTCGACACTCGTCTTAAGATTTAAGGCTTTAAGTCAAATTTAGGAAATCGGATATAGACATACTGATATAAAAATAAAGCTTCGATAACGTATTGCTATGGATGAATGCAATACAATTGTAAATATTCGTATTTCATAATTATGTTCGAGACTATCTGTATATATTCCGGTCACTTTAACGACGCGTACTTTAGACATGTCAAAAGAGATGTATGACCGCGTTGGTTTTTTCCATAAAAATTAGTATAGAGCTTGCTATTTGAAAATTTAATTATGTTCTTCCAATAGACACAGCGATTCTTATAAAATTACAAATAAATATATTTCAGGGTACTTCAGGATTTGAAAAGCACGTCGATCATTTAATGAAACTTTCAGCTCTCTTTAAAGAAGAAATTGAGAGAAGGGATGGTTTCGAATTAGTGACAGATTCTTGTTATATAAACGTATGCTTTTGGTTCATTCCACCCTCTTTAAGAAATCGTAGTTTATTTTGCGATTACAAGAAACGACTGAACGAAGTAAGTTTAGTTATTACATATGCCTCTTCTTTTTATTCTTTCATTAATCAATTAAATAAATACGTAATTAAGTTTTACCTTCAGTTTGTGATTTTATAAAATGCAAAGCTACAAATTGGAATAAATAATTGTATATACATGTAGTAGAAAACTTGATTCAAATAATTCAGAGGAAAGAATTGATTCTAGTATAATTTAAAAATAATTTCTGGATTTTATTATAACCGAATGAAATCGAGCTATTATATAAGTCATTATCTATTTTATTTTTTATATATTCCCTAAGAAGGGTATATCGATTATAGTAAGGATAGAAATCTGTCTGTTCTGCCGTGAGTACGTACCTCGTGTGATATCATATCGATTGCGAATAATTCGCTTGACATAATTTCTCTTTTATTAGCAGTAAATAATTATTATTTCTTGATTATTCGATACTTAAAAGTAAATCAAATTCATTTTTGAATACGTATGAGATTTGAATATTTTGAATTTGATTATTTCACGTATTTAATTACTCTTATTGTCATTAGGTCGCACCGAAATTAAAGGAGAAGATGACGAAACGGGGTAGCTTAATGATTAATTACCAACCACTCCACGAGAATCCAAACTTTTTTCGTTTCGTTGTACAAAATTCAGGATTGGATGAACGGGACATCTTTTATGTCTTTGACGAACTGGAAAATCTTGGAGAGTCTATGTAACGATTCTCAAATTATGATTACCCAAGTGATTTGTAAATAATTTTTAATGTAAATTATAATTCAAAGAAAGAATACATACACGTGTTTCTCATTTTCCTACGTCTACTTTTGAGAAAACGAAATAATTTATAATAAGAGAATCGTTCTCGACCTAAGATTTTTTACATCAAAGTGCGAAGTTAATTTAATTGATACATCGTTATAGCAACGTCACGAAGTAGCGACTAACTAATCCTGATTCAAGTGACAGCATATAGAGAAGCCCTATGTACATGTATACATCTATGTATAGAGTTGCATCGTGCCACGTACATGCATACATGTAATACATATGTGTATCTGGAGCACGATGATCTACAATAACAGCTGCACGGTTTTTCAACATAAAATCATGAACATTTAATCTTCATAGATTGATTTCATAATTTTCCGAAATTATATTTTCATTGACGTACAGATTGTTCAGTCATGTTCTTTTATAGATAATGAATGATGCTCATTTATACTTAAAATGTGCTTTCCATAATACCCCTGAAATTACTGTATACAATTTTTTGCTGGTATTGGAAATTATGATGAATCTGCATAAATTGAAATGTATCGGAAAATTCTTATTACTGCAAGCTTGGGAAAGATATTACCAATTTTGGATTAAATACCTATTCGGGAATTTTGTATCCCCTTTCATATTAGTTATCATAGTTCTCTTTTAATCCTTCACGTTTTATTTCCTATTGTTTATAGCATAAATTCCCAATAGCGAATCTAGTTTTCAATACAGGCTATATTAACAGAGAAATCAGCTTCGTTTTCGAAACAACTTTCTACATATTGTCAGTATAAGCTTTAACGACTTGTGTGCTCAATAACGAGTATGAAGTGTATAATTACTACGGCTTCGTCCATTTTAATCAAAAGTTGCATATGTATGTCGCGTTAATTGGTGCGTGGAATCTGTAATCCAAATACAAAGGCACTCTTGTAACAATTGAATCACGGGAGTATAACAGGCCCATGAATCTAGTAATTAATGTAACCATTCTTTGTGTTTAAGGGTGGATTAAATCCATTCAGTCAACCAATTTTGTTTACTGACAAACTTTGAGTATCGAACTGTTTTATAATATCGACTGAATGATTATTTTATTTATTATGATCCTTCTTAAATTATCGTTCGTTATGACTGTATAAGAATTGTTCAATAAATTCATGAGCCTTCAATCTCTGTGTTTCAAGTGTATTTCCGCCGCTGTTTCTGCATTTGCATTTCATTAATAGTAAACTGTGTTAATGAAATGCTTAATATTTAATTACTGGTATCGTCGCGTAGGCAATGACAAACAATGCGAAACGGCCGTATGCATAATTAATAAGAAAAACATGGCTTACGCGTCGGTAATAGTCGAGCGAAATTTTCGATCATCGATGATCGTGAAATTCGGCACTGCGAAATGGAACGATCAGAATGATCTATAAATTACAAAATCGAACGAAACCCGCGTTAACATAATACGGGCGTTGAAAGCCTGCTAAACATGTCACGCTCCGCCGTTCCGCGTTCTGTTGTTTTGTTTTCAACGGGTCGCATCGAATAACCCGGGCAAATTAGTCGAACGCGATATAAAAATGCCAGAACCTGCGAAATTCGCATGAAATACAAATTATTTATGCAAGTTACAAGTTATTAGCATTAATCCGTGCAATTTTATTTTAGATTGTGTTTACATAACGTTCGCAAGTCTCACTTTAATAATCGTGCACCGGCCGCGATTATTGGTTCAATAAAAGGTATAATGATAATGATCGGGAATGATCCACGATAAATGTGGAAGCAACCTCGGGTTGTACTAGTCTTGAACGTGTTTCTTTATCGTATTAAAATAGGGCGTCCGAGAAACCCTTTGCAGGGAACTGTGCTTGTGTGTTACGTTCCTGTCTCCGAGCCACTGCTAGGGGTGCTTGCCCTGCGAATGAACTTAGACAGTAGGTTGCCGCTGCGAAAGACGGTGTTAACGTCGATAGTCATCAGACGAATCGTTCAGTAACCCGAATGTCAGTCGATATCTGTAAACTCGACGGCCAGGATGGGAAGGGTCTCCCAATTCACGTGCCACAGGTATTTATTTCGATACCAATATCTCGTTACCAATTTAGAAATCCAATTTATGCCGGAATCGATTGTTTTACGTATTCATTTCGATTTAAATTCCCTTGAATATAATGAAGTGCAACGCATTGGTAAAAAATTAAATCAGATACCAAGGTACGTCAGGTACGTTTAATTTTAATAATATTAGCATCGTTTAACGTCGTTTTAAATGCCTATAGAACGTGGGATTCTTGGAAACTTATCGTTATATAATGGAAGATGCTGCAGGTCAGTTATTTTCATTGACATTTTATGGAATACATTTTTATTGTGCATGCATTTCGTAATTTCTCATTTCAGATCCCAGAGTAGCGAATTGGTGGTTAATGGGCAGTCCGTTCCCATTGTTAGGAATTATATCCCTTTACCTGTTTTTCGTCCTCCGTCTCGGACCGTTGTGCATGAAGAATCGAAAACCGTACAATTTGAATAAGATCATGATCTGTTACAACATTTTCATGGCAACCACGAGCGGAAGTGTATTTTACGGGGTGAGTTTGTTCGAGGCAAACAATTAACATATTGAATAACATCGAAAGAAAATAAATCGATATGTTAAATTACGAAAGTTGCTTACATCCGGCTTCACCACAAGATTGTCACTCGGATGCGAGCCTCATATAATTTCTAACGACCCAGAATCTTATCGTGTAAGTATGAAAAAATACTGGTAAGCAATCCTGATATTATCGAGAATTTTGTGACGTTAACAGATGGCACGTTGGATGTGGAGGCTCCTGATTTTGAAAATCATCGAACTAGGCGACACTATCATTTTCATTTTGAGGAAAAAATACAATCAGGCCTCTTTCCTCCACATTTATCATCACACGTCGACCGTTCTCCTCGCGTGGATAGCATGCAAATTTGTTCCAGGTGAATCTCATTCACTGTTTCATTAATTGCAACTCTTTGCTGTCCTATGTTTTCCAAATACAAACATGGATTTTTTCAAGAATGTATGTTTCAAGATGAGAGTTCATTTTCGTCAAATTTGTCGGAGTAATTATTAATTCAGAGCTTCTCGAGACGTTGAATCACTGCTTTCACAACGAGTTTGTTATTTTCCAGGCGGTATGTGGACGTTCACGATTATGCCAAACTGCATCGTGCACGTGATTATGTACACGTATTATCTGCTCGCCTGCTTGGGTCCAGAAGTGCAAAAGAGGATCGCGCCTTGGAAACAATACATTACGGGGTTACAAATGGTACGTTCCCGTTTTCTATGTGACCACGCTATCTCCTCGTCACGTTCCATACACGCTGCACACACGCGTACACCTATTGGGCCGGTGGATGTTCGTTTCGCCCTCTGAATTGCCGTGCCGGGAGCGTTACTCGCTCATTTCACCGTGCACAGCCGCGTATCGCGTAATCGTAAAATTACATTCCTCTGTCCGCCGGCGTAGGGTATTTTTAAAACGCGAAATTGCTATTGACGGTTCGACCGTTACGATGCGACGCGACGGTTGCGCGTCCGGCTAAGTAAATTAATCTATATAAGCGAATAAACGCGTAGAAAATACCTGCCGGCCGATCTGACCGTGACTATTCGCCGAATCGTTACAAAACTGTTTGGGAAACCCGGTGATTGAATAATGACGATGACCGCGTGGAATTCGCGCAGCCACTGCGTGATCATCGATCAGGTGAAACAGTTACACATCTTTTGGGTTTTCGTTCAGTTTAGGTAAGAGGATTCGTGACACTATAATTTGTACTAATTGATATTTCGCTGCCGCTGCGTGTATGCATCATAATTTATATTTTTCGCATTGTTACGGTGAAGCATTGTCAGACAGCAACGCAATTACTTTCGATATAACATTTATGCACGGAACGAAGTGCCTGTTTAGAAATGTACAATGCAATCTTAAAAAAAGAAATTGACCAAGCCGGGTGATGATGAAAAATTCAATACGTTTCTCCGCGTGTACCAACTGTTACAATGAAATTATTCTTTATGCTTTCACCGGTGTGCCAAGAATTGCAGATGAAACGCACACAGCCGTAAAATATAAATGTCAAAAAGGTGCGCGGCGGCAATGTTTTTCAGGGATAACGGAGCACCGGAAATAAATCACGTTCCTGTGCAAAAAATCTCTTTTTTTTTTGTTTTATCTCGAACTCAGAATGTCACGTCGCCCTGCGGTTTGTTTAATGGAAGCAATTTCACATAATAAATCTGAGCCGCGACTCCCGTTGGTCAAGTTTACTTGATTTTAAATCATCTCGATTCGAATCACCTGCAAATTCGTCCAGTATTGCCCGTGTCACGATTGAAATAAAATCAGGACTAAACCTTTCTAATAATCAATAAAAGTGAGTCAAACGAGAATCGCGAGTTATTCTGTATAAAAGTTTCGAATTTCGATGACAAACAACGGAGTGGTTACATGAGAAACCTGACCACGTTTTTTTTTTTATTTTTTATTGAATAATTCGTCTGCGAGGTACTTTTATACTTCCACGATATATGTATCTACGGAACACGATTTATCGGGTTATACGTGCTCGTTTAATTTCGGATTAAAGTGTTTCACGCTGTGCCGAGTGGAGCACCGGGACTTCGGAGAGGGCCGTGCCAGAGTGTCCCTTTACTGCAATGTGAAGAGAGTCTATTAAATCTCGTTGTAGGTGAACAGCGCTGTTCTCGCGTCATCGTTCAAACTGTTTCTTACTAAATTTCTCACTTTTCTCTCGTTGTCGATCATTCGTCGAACACGTGCTCTCAGCCGACTGTTTTAGGAAATTAATTGCACCGCAATATTTCAGATTCAGTTCATCATCATGATATGTCACGCGCTTCAATTTTTATTACCTTCCTGCGAACCAAACCGGAAGCCAGTGGCCTACATCTACGTGTCCCAGATGTTCATCATGTTCTACCTGTTCTGCGATTACTATAAAAAATCCTATTCCAGAAAGAAGATGGAGTAAAATTCGCCTGAATAATAAATGTACCGTGGTACGTAAGAATCGTTCATATTATTCATATTATAAATGAAGCATATTCATAATGTTTTGCGTAAGTTCATCATTCATGAATAATTTCAGGCAATAACAATTTGTCTCCACCTATTATATCGGCTTGTGTCGGCGTGATCCACCTAAACGCAGGAATTATAATCATAGTTTAATAACACACATTCCGGCTAATACTTCAATAATGAATTCCATCCGAACGGACCGACTATACCTCGTACATCGGCGCGCAACTTTTACAGCGATTACGTTGCGACGTGGCATACGTGTCAGACAGCTTTTAATTACATTACTGTATCGATCCGGTGTAAATGAACCGGAGCGCGTAAAATTTATACGTAAATACCGTAGGCAACGATTATCTGATTTGAATAATCGCATCTCTGTGCCGACAGGTAACTCCGGTTCGGAGGAACGCGAGCGCGAACGCGCCGTGTAAAAGCTGCTTTAAAAATCGTAGATTCGAGCCAGCCACCGTGTCCCGTTACACCGATCCGTTCCAACGTCCCCCCGGGGCCGCTTGTGTGCGCGCGTAGTGATAATTCCGCGGAAAATCAGACTGGCACGATCGCGTGGACGCGCCGCTTGATATATCGCGCCGGCGAAACGCATTAGAAAAACATGCATCGGGAAGCAAGAGAACGCGCCGCGCCGCGCCGTGATATAAGGGCGAAATTCTCGTATACGTGTACGAGTCAGTTCGCATTTTGCTCGCGGATATGCTTTTAGCCGGATTCTTTGTTTCCTTTTTAGCGCATACCTTCCCCCTCGCTCCATTTTATCTTACTCCGTTATGATTGAAATATATTATGTGCATGAATTTTTGTTTCGCGTAATATCGACGTGTACAGCCGCTCCAGCGGCGTTGTACATAGCTGCGATAGCGATTTTATTGAAATTCAACAGCCAGTAGGAAGACGCTAACATCCGTTCGACGGTTATGTCGTTCTTAGACACGCTTACTTCGTACTTCGTCTGTTTTTTATCCTGACCGAGGGAAGCGTGTGCGCTTTTGCAAGTTAATCCGCTTGAACGTGAACGAGATAAAAAAACAACTAGGAAGTGGAATAAGTATAGTTACAGTACACTTAGGCTGCGCAACGTTTTACTACTATTAGGATGTATGTATATTTTGCATGTGTATCGACATAATAAACTGATAGGTTTTTGATGAAAGTTGTAATTGGAACAATTTACGTGTGAGTCAATAAAAATTGTCACTTGAAATCTGATGTTCATTGGTTTAGTTACCTCGAATTTTGATTTATTAGAAAATTATACAGGAACGAACGTAATTAACGAGGTTCATACGAAATTTGACACGAGGCATGCGTTAATTAATTGCATTTCACAATACAACATCTATTAATTTAGTGAAGAGTTACAGGTGGTGAAACGAGTTACCCTAAATGACCGATAATTACGGCGTGGGTGCGAGTGTCGGTAATTCCAATTGCTTTTCCTTTTCGCCTGATGGTTATTCGCGTTTTTCTCGTGTGTGATCGGGCTCTCTGCCGCGACACGCATGCCCGAAAAGGTGGCATTAGAGCCCGGCGCTTTCCTGGCCGACCGAAATTAGCATAGGGGATTAGCGCGTCTGTGGCTTAAAGTCGACACGCATGGTTGCACGCCGATAAGAGTTTATTAGCGCTGGCTTTATTTATCTTGCAATTTCGGTCCTCTCCACGCGGAACTCCTCTGATCTTCTTTGTCAGGATAAACGATAGACCGGTTCGTAAAACAAATTTTCAATTTCATTCTTAATTACTTCTTATTCAACAATTCATCTTTTTCCTTATGTAAATTAAGTTTGAGAAAGTGATGAGTCAATCTTCTAAAGAACTATTTTAATATTTACCCTTAATATTTCTTTCAAGATGTTAGCTAAAGTTCAAAGAAGATTCCGAAATTCGGTTGTTTACTAGGATAACTTCGCCCTAAACAAGGATTTAAGTACAACATAGTTTAGAAGGAGATAAATACTTGGATATGTAAGAAAAATGTGGAAGCAGTTCCGTTGGTTTAAAAAGGACGACGTCGCACAAACGTTTTTTGTCTTAAGAGACGCAAACGAAGTTACCTCCCTTTTTTACACCGGTTTGTAACGTTTCAGAACGACTTCGCTATTCTTTGTATTGAATTAGTAATACTAAAGAATCCGTGAGCGTGTTCAAGGTACGTCAGAGCCGGCACCGGCGCTGCGCTGCGCGGCGCGGCGCGGCGTGGCGTCCTGTGCGGCTGAATGCAATACTTACGACTGCGCAGGAAAAAGGGGGAAAGCGAATCTTTTCGTGCGAAATATATGACCGTGCAACCTGCTACCAGCTTCGTGGCCTCTAGCTCTGTGAATTCATTTTTTAGAATTCGTGGGGTTTGCCCACGTCCGACGCTGTGAACTTCTCGACGTGTCACAAATATTGCGATCTGCAAATTTCAAACAGTCGTAGAACGGAGCTCGTTCTCGTGGAAAGAGAACGTCGCTAAGCTTTTACATTGTCCGCCGCTGAAGAACGCCGTTATAACTTCAACTGCTATTTCAAGTTTTATTTTAAAAAGACTGAGAATAAGCCCACCTTACATTTTTTATATTCCATTGACCAGAGGACTGCGACCTGGTTTTTTACGTTTTACATATTTTTCGCTTTTTCTACAATTTTTTGTCGTTTTTTTTTTCCGCTTGGGAGCCGACGGGAAATGCGCACGGACGTGGCTCCCTACGAAGCTGAACAACGCCGGGATATACTTTCCCATTTTTACCGGAACCAAAGCCTTTTGATCGTCACCGTGTTTTTTCGTTTGGAAAAAGAGTATTGTACGTTGCGAGTTTAATGTCAGTTAGCTGTTTATAACTTGTGCATAACTTCCGCGCGTTTAAAAGAGACGATGATTAAAGGAAATGAGAGGACGGTCGAAGTTCTTGTTTTTCAGACAAACACGAAAGAAGAGAGAATTGTTTTGGAACAAGAGAAAAATGAAATTGATGAACTGGAAGTTGATGAACTCGAAGTGCACGTTATAATTATGAGACAACAAAAAGGAACTTATGAGACAACAAAAAGGAACTCGAATATCAGATTGAATAATGTATAGAATTAATTTATGACATGGATTTAAAAATGTAATATAATATCTGTGTCTCGGAAATTGGATCACGATCGATGCAATCTGAACTTCTTCCGATTTTGCCAAAAATTTTAATTTCCTTTCGGGACATATTATCGTTAGGACGCGCGGAGCCAATATCACGGAATTTATAAGAGCTCCCATATTGCGAGGACCGCGCGCGTCGCGCGACGTAACTGCTTGCTTAAATACTGGCCAAACTCATATACCGATACACGCGTCTGGCGGATACAACGGCCAACTTCCAGCCCTTTGGCACGATACGACGATTCGAAAGCTCGTTCGGATCGGCCGTCGTAATCGTATATCTCCGCCACTGCCAGACCGCCATTTGCACCCTCGGATAATTGCGAGATACTTTTCTTTATTATCGGTTTACATGTACAACGTGCCGTCTTGATACATTCTTTTAAAACGACTACAACAAAATAAAACTGATAATTCAGAATTTACTATTCTAAAGGTTTTTTTTTTTTTAAATTAATGTCGTCTAAAATATGGATCATAGATTTTCGATCAGCGGGAAACGGAACGCAACAGGGAAGAGACGCGACAGTTATAAAAGTATGGAGTGCTGCGTTGTGGTTAGGATAAAAGCGTGGCCGGAATTTAATAACCGCCGAGCACGAACCTGAACCCGTTTAGAATTTAATACTAATTTAAAAGAGATTAGTTCCGTATCCGGCACTAGACAAGGATCACTACCCTCTCGGCCTCGTCCCTCGACCCGAGGCGAATTTCAGGGGCAGCAACCAGGCACAGTAGCCGGTGTTCCCATGAGGGAAGCGGCTTAATTAATTGAGCTTAATTTAAATTTAATTTAATTTCCCTTGCACTCTTCTCGACCGCGCTCCTCTCTTCTATTCACAGGCATGCGTGTCTTTTAACGTTTCATTTTTAGATTATACAGAATACTCATTGCCACATAGAATAATAAATATGAAATTATAAAAAATCAATTACAATGTTGGAAGCTGGAAAATTGGCTTTAGAATACGATAGATCACTTGCGGCATGTAAATTTCTTATTTCTCTTTCGAGCAACACGTATTCATAAAAAATTCTAACTTCCCAGCAGTCGCAATAAGCCATGCCTGCAATTGCTCTTCTTTAACTTCTAAAATGGAATTCCTTGCTCGTAAAGTTTAAACAGCAGCTGTAAATGTTTAAGCACGAACTCTTTTAACAATATGTCAAACGAGAGAAAGATTGTATATTTTTATGGCCGAAAATAATGTTATGAGAAAATGTTTTCGTCACACATCAAAAGGAACACAACTTTCCTCTGAGCATAAAGATTCTGGTCGCAAAGGCAATCAAATTCAGTACGTAAAAATTGTTTTCCAGAGAAAATCTTCGCCATAAAGCTCCGCTATACGTACCGTCCCTCAGTTTTATATATCACGAACAGGCAAGAGGCAGGCAAAGTTTGAGGAGGCACGTCTAACGTCGGATGATTTACTCGGGATGTAAATCATTTCCTTTCAAGACGCTCCGCGGCCGGTTTTCTGCACGAATTTCGAGAAACGATTCGTACCCCGCGTAGCTCGGTCGGATATCGAAAACCCCTCGCGGAGAGAACTTCGCCCTTTCTCTACTTTTTACCCGAGCTTCCACTCGGTTCCCTTTCTTTCTCCGGGCGCGCGGAGGAATTCATCTCCCACGAAACTTTCAGTTTTGTTCTTCCCACCATAACGCGCCGACTGATCGCCCGTCCGCGAGAAGGAGGAAGCGTAGAACCGATCCGGTAGGAAAACTTTGAATATTTACAGGTAGGGCGCACGTCGACATCCTCGAGGGCGCCCTTTAAAATTTATTAGCGAATATCGATGAAATTCCAACGATTTAAGGGGGACGGGAAAAGGCGTTCGGAGTGAGGCCAGAAAAATCTCGTTCGAGTGTATATTCTGTGGGACAGAGAACGAGGGATTTGGTAACGGAAGTTTATCGATTCCTGGAGTGCTTAGGTTCTATTTTCGGCACGATTTAAATGTTAAATTCGGTTAGGCAATTAATAGACGTGACTCTTTTCTAAAGCCCATAAATCATGATTGACATGCGAAACGTTTGAAATACATTCTATAAAACAAACATGTTTTTTAACAGACTCGAGCTAAAAGTGTCGGGTTTAATGATCTCTACGAGCAGCAGCAGAATTCGTGGATAAATTTCCTGGAACACTGGAAAACGGGGAAGATTCTTTCGTTTCTTATGCAGATTGTGTACAATTTATACAGAACGCATTAATTCTTTCACGCGCGCCGGCCGTCCAGTCGCTTTAGCTCGCGGCACCGGGCTTATAGAAACAGAGGCACATTGTCCTTTTAATATGCGGCGGAATAAAACATCATTCGGTTAGGCGAACTTCGTCGCATTTTTTTCCCTCGCCGACTTTTACACACGGAGCTTTGAATATTCATCAGCGAAGTACGATGAGAAAGTTCAATCTGCAAGAAGTGGCCGACCGACTTCGTTAGGGTGTTCCCTTCGCCGCGCGGAGCCGCGCCGCCGTCCGCGCCGAGTTCAAAGTTTCCGGTCTCGGCTGCAGTCTTCGGATAAACTTTGATAAGGTAATATGGTTACCGATGACTCTGACAAACGAATAGCTTTCTACTTTCCTCAGGCAACCGCGCTCGATACATATCGCTCCGACCGAGATGGATCGGATATAGAATTAAGAGATCCGTGCGTAAGATCAAAGCGATCGACCATCTCTCCTGCTATCGACTTCGAAGTCAATTGTATTTTTAAATTTCCAGAGAGCAGATGAAATGTCAAATTTTTCAGATCTGTACTTGAACAGGCACGATCGTATTATTGTTTAAAAAAAAAAAGTAGAAGTCATGACGTTTGACAGTTGTGAATTTTTTATTTTATCTCACAGAGTCTTATTGCACGGAATTGAAGAAATCGAGGTAACCAAATGTTATTAAATCCGAAGGATTTAAGTAAACTAAGCGTCGAACAGCGGCGGGGAAAAAATACAATGCCTGACCATCCGACCGTTTTTTTTTTCTATAACCGGCTGAGCTACAACGTAATAACTCGTCCACGCGATAAACGGATTACGTACGGCTACGTGCATCGAACCG